TTCACGCTGTTAACGTTAGACAGAACGATCGACAGAACGCCTTTACGTGTTATTCCCTACCGTGACAACATCCTGGTGCCATTTACACGCCGTCACCAATGGCGTTTTGTGTTTCAGGGTGACAACGCAAGAACACAGCGTGTGAAGCTCATTAAAGCGGCGTAAAACTAAACTCACTCTTGTTGCTTGAGATGTTATGTGAGATGAGAGGCATGACGTAATTCCCTTATACACCTCTCTGAGGCAGATGATGGTTCTGGAATAAGCTCACTGAAGCTTACAATAAACTTAAGTCCAATTTGACCCCACATCATCGTTTTCTGTTGAATCCATGATTTGATCCTTAGCAAAGTGTGAATAGTATACAACAGATGAAACATTATTCGCTATAACAATGCCTCATAACAATGTACAAACAACCATCCCACATTATGCCTGTGTATCTGTATGTCAGAGTAGGTTTGTTTGAGTGTGTATGTACATGTGTGGGTGAGAGAAGACTCACATTTAGTACTAGAAATAAAGTTATCTAATTAAAGAACATACATTTACAAAACAAATCCAGATGAAACCCTGAACAACACTAAATTTCTCGAAGACTGACGCTTCGTTCAAGAAATTAGGCTTTTTCATTTATTTACATATCTACAAATATATTCTCGTGTGTGTGTGTGTGTGTGTGTGTGTGTGTGTGTGTGTGTGTGTGTGTGTGTGTGTGTGTGTGTGTGTGTGTGTTTAACCTCGTGGTCTTATTCTTGAAAGGGTTATCGAACAATCAACTTTAATATGCCTACTTTAATAAAGTTGTTTTATGTGTGTGTCACATGTCAAATTGCCTGGGTCCAATAAAGTATCAACTGACTATTGATTGTCTGCATGTTCAGAATGCTGCCTCCCACTGCTGTCGTTGGCCAGGTCAGCCTGTACATTACGGCGTGGAAAAACACATCAGCAGCTGTTTATCCTGCTCTCAATCCCAGAGAGCTGTGTAAATCACCGCGTGTGTACCTGAAGAATATCTATATTTTTAACGCAGATTCACATGCATACACAACTGCTGTCTGTCCACAGACAAACCTTGAATTGCTATGAAAAGAAGAAAAATCGTAAATAAGGTATTTCAGTGATGTTCAGATTTCAAAATAATTAGCCTCGTATACAATAAATATAACCTGATCGTTTTCGTGCAGTTCTTCACAAACGTTAGACTGTCACTTTGGTCCTGTGGGTTGAGCGTCTGTGTGGAGAGCGTCTGTGTGGAGAGCGTCTGTGGGTTGAGCGTCTGTGTGGAGAGCGTCTGTGGGTTGAGCGTCTGTGTGGGGAGCGTCTGTGGAGAGCTTCTGTGGGTTGAGCGTCTGTGTGGAGAGCGTCTGTGGGTTGAGCGTCTGGAGAGGCGTGTGGGTTGAGCGTCTGTGTGGAGAGCGTCTGTGTGGGTTGAGCGTCTGTGTGGGGAGAGCACGTCTGTGTGGGGAGCGTCTGTGTGGAGAGCGTCTGTGTGGGAGCGTCTGTGGGTTGAGCGTCTGTGTGAGGAGCGTCTGTGTGAGCGCGTCTGGGGAGCGTGTGTGGGGAGCGTCTGTGTGGGGAGCGTCTGTGGAGCGTCTGTGGAGAGCGTCTGTGTGGGGAGCGTCTGTGGAGAGCGGGAGGTTGGGGGTTTCATTCCTAGCCACACCATGGTACTGGGCCTCCTTTCACAAAGCACTAAGGTGATCGTAAGTCACTGAGGTAACTTTAATGCAATGATAAACAATAGGAGTTAAGGTTAGCCTTAGTAAAGGTTGTTTCGTGACCCTGGTTTCGACCCTGCTTGGCACTCAGCATTAGGTGGGTAAGACAAGGGTTGGTCGGAGCCGTTCTACTGTGTCTGTGTGGGGTATCCATGTTCAACCGGTGTTTCAGTTAGCACGATAAAACCAAACATATTGTCGGACCGGCACCAACACTGAACAGGCGTGTGATAGTGTCAGCACAATACACACATATATGTTCATTAGTATATAATCTGCTTGGGAGGCTCATAATATGTTCTTACCCCCAAGGATCACCCTGTCAACATTTTGTTCGAAACACGTGCGAGTACTATTGTAACCCTTAACGAACACCTTGTCGACCTGTTGTTCGAAACACGCGTGACTTATGCTGTAACCCTTAACGAACACCTTGTCGACCTATTGTTCGAAACACGCGTGACTACTATTGTATCCCTTAACGAACACCTTGTCGACCTATTGTTCGAAACACGCGTGACTACTATTGTATCCCTTAACGAACACCTTGTCGACCTATTGTTCGAAACACGCGTGACTACTATTGTATCCCTTAACGAACACCTTGTCGACCTATTGTTCGAAACACGCGAAAACGCGTGACTACTATTGTATCCCTTAACGAACACCTTGTCGACCTATTGTTCGAAACACGCGAGACTTCTATTGTATCCCTTAACGAACACGCGTCGACCTATTGTTCGAAACACGTAGACTTCTATTGTAACCCTTAACGAACACCTTGTCGACCTATTGTTCGAAAACTTATGCTGTAACCCTTAACGAACACCTTGTCGACCTATTGTTCGAAACACGCGTGACTTATTGTATCCCTTAACGAACACCTTGTCGACCTATTGTTCGAAACACGCGTGACTACTATTGTATACCTTAACGAACACCTTGTCGACCTATTGTTCGAAAACACGCGTGACTTACTATTGTATGCCTTAACGAACCTTGTCGACCTATTGTTCGAAACACGCGTGACTACTATTGTATCCCTTAACGAACACCTTGTCGACCTATTGTTCGAAACACGCGTGACTACTATTGTATCCCTTAACGAACACCTTGTCGACCTATTGTTCGAAACACGCGTGACTACTATTGTATCCCTTAACGAACACCTTGTCGACCTATTGTTCGAAACACGCGTGACTACTATTGTATCCCTTAACGAACACCTTGTCGACCTATTGTTCGAAACACGCGTGACTACTATTGTAACCCTTAACGAACACCATGTCGACCTGTTGTTCGAAACACGCGTGACTTATGCTGTAACCCTTAACGAACACCATGTCGACCTGTTGCTCGAAACACGTGACTAATGTTGTAACCCTTAATGAACACCATGTCGACCTGTTGCTCGAAACACGTGACTAATGTTGTAACCCTTAATGAACACCATGTCGGTCTGTTGCTCGAAACCTTCGTGAAGAACTTTCGAATAGTACCAAATTTGACAAAGGGGCTAAGTGTTCTTTCTAAACTTGTGTTGTTTATATACTTGTTTGTATCTTGGCGTGTAAAAAGTTTGATGCTAGTACAAGGTTTATGAAATGATTAAAACAACGTATTACAACGGAATATATCAGATGACCATTGTCGACGAAATCTAATACGGCAGTTACCAAGCATTATTATTCATCAAATGTAACAGCTTTGAATATTAATCACCTTTACACGGACTACCTGCTGACTATTTTTTTCATAATGTGCAGATCATCATTAGTTATGAATCTACAGTCGAGAAATGTATGCTTCATGTACTTGCATGTATGTACACAACATACGGACACAGATACAGTCGAACCCTTTTTGTCCCGAACCCCATTCCTAGACATTGATTCATTAAAATGACGATGAAAACTGACGTTCCGGAGTCACGAAGTTTCAATGTATCGGGTATATGCTACAGTGTTTATAATATACTGCTCTGTCATGATATTAACTCTGAAATGCGTTTCATATTAGGAACGTCTTCAAATGACAAGACACATATGCGTGTTTTCATAAAGCTAAAATAGTTAACAGTATGTTTTTCCCAAGCAACGGAGCTATGGTAAACTTAAAATGTAAAATCATTTACAAACGCGATAAATATGAGACATCTTACTTCATGCGCCTGTGTAAATAATTCTTGAAGTGAGATATTAGAAAATGATTTGGGGGATCATAAAGCATGTCGAGTTTAAAGCTATTGGAATGGACAGGTAACGATCCAGATTGATGCTGTATATATATAATACATGAAAGGTTCTGTTTTAAGACTGGTTGGGGGACCTTGGCGCAGTTATGCCATAACGATCTTTTATTTGTTTAATTACTTATAATTGGTTTATCACCTCATTTAAGCTCTTAGATTGAATAAATGGTCATGTATGTTTGAATTCTCAGCTTCTGGTTAACATGAGATTACGTATCTTTCTCAGGTGACCTGTCTCAGCCTGCTTTCTCCATTTTATCCCTCTTGGATGTGACCGTCTCCGTGGTGTAGTGGTTAGAGCGTCCGCCCGGAGAGCGGAAGGTCGCGGGTTCGATCCCCGACCGCGTCATACCACAAGACGTTAAAATATGGTACTTGTTTGTCCCTGCCTGGCGCTCGGCATTAATGGGTACAACAAGGACTGGTCGGCTCGGAGTCAGTATAATGTGTCTGAGTGGGGTATTCATGCTTCACTGCAGCATGGTATCTCAGTGGGCTAGCACTATAAAACCAGCTTCAGTCTAGGCTAGTACAAGCAGCCTCATATACACATACACACGCATGCACGTCGTCATATGAGCGAAATATTCTCAGGCACGATGTAAAACCCAATTTCACCTCACCTCACCTCACCTCTTGGATGTTTCCACTGTATCAGTACCCGTGAAGATCCGGGTTACAACTCGTCTTCAGGAACCCACTCTTGTCGTTAGGGGTGACTAACGGGATCGGGTGGTTAGGCTCGCTGACTTGGTTGACACATGTCATCTGATCCCAATTGCATATATCGATGGTCATGCTGCTGATCACTGGATTGTTTGGTCCAGACTCGATTATTTTCAGACTGCAACCATAGCTGGAATATTGCTGAGTGCGGCGTTAAACAACAACAAGAAAACCAAACAAATAAACAAGAAACAAACACTATATCAGTAAGCAATTTGCATGTTTCTTACTTCAAGCAGTGATTTTGTTCTTGTGGTTGTGACCAGCTGAATTGGTGCTAATTACAAAGTCTGTTGCAGATGAGGCAGTGTTGGCACAGCTGCATGTAGAGGAGCGGGCGTCGTGTTTCCTTCAGTGATGAGTGACGACAAGACGTCGAGGATAATCCAGACAGCCTGGCTCTTCTGGGGTTTCATGATGCCGGTAGGATAGATTTTCGACCACTGACCATCATGTACATTTCACATGAGAGGCTACCAAACAGTTATTTTTGTGGTCGGAATATCTGTTTGTGTGTTCGAATCCCAGTACTCCTCGATAATGTTAGATCCATACCCCCTCCCCGTGGATTTCACCAAAATAGCTTAAGATAAACTGCTTGGCCAAATTCCTTGTTTTAATCGTGACAATCAGAGGAAAGCTTCCTATGCATATGCATGAAGAAACAGATAAGCAAGCTATGGAGCACAAATTGTGCTTATGTCCACACCTTGTCCAAATGTCTTTTCTCCGAAGTTCACCATTTCATAAGTATGTTTTCAGAGACCTTCGGATTAAATGTTATTTGTGATACATCTTCCTTAAGCCTTGTAACTATAGCTTCTACAGATATGGTTATAGATTGACATGAAGGTGTTCCTAGATTTGTCGTGTGGGAAAGCGGATCTCAGTAAGGTTCAGATTCTAGTGCTTTTCTAGTGTGCTGGCGATTAGATGCCTGACTCAGTGAGTGTGGGTGATGTTTCAACCGGACAATCTGTACTTTACTGAGTAAGTGTAATCCTAAATATAACGTTAACGTGTTACATTTGACCAATTTCTAAATGGCATTGTGTATTCATGAATGGACATGTTGTAAAAATATGCATGATACATTATACAACATATACAACTTTGAGAATTACTTTGTGAAAGGTGTTTCACGGGTTCGTCTATGGACACTTGTCTTAACAGAACTTCCTTTCCACATCCTTAACATTGTACGTGGAATGTCACGTTGTATATGGTCCGTTGTCTGCCTAGGGAGTTGGTGACGCTATCCTGGGTCCAACCCTCCTGGATCTGCAGCTGCTCGTCCAGGAGTCAGTGGACAAGTTCTCCTTCCTGATCCTGTGTACAGGAGTAGGCGCCATTACAGGCAGTCTCCTCACAGGATTCATATTCACCAGCGTCAACAACAGACTCAAGTTGGCACTGACCATCATACTGGGCTCCGTGGTCAACTGCGTCACGCCGGCAGTTCCAGCGTTTGGCTACTTCTGTGTCATGTTCTTCTTACAAGGATTGTCCAGAGGTTTCGCAGGATGCTGTAAGTTATCACGCCAGAATTGACTTCAAGTTTATTGATGTGTGCTCACTGTTTAAACCCGAGCAAAGTGTGCTCATCGTTTAACATGCCTGTTCTTTCCACCTTCATATACGCAACATATTGAAATCGATTGTTAGAAATAACTACGCCCATGATGGTGACGATAATCAGTAACATAAACACGTTCCACAATCAGTAACATCTGCCTGCGTAATAATGAAACACAAACCTCGCCAATCAGCAATCAGCAGTCTATAGTGACACGCGATCAAAATAGTTCATATGTATCATCAAGGTCATTTACGCTATGCAGTACTGCTATTCATTTAAACATGTGTAGTATGTTTGACAATAACATGTTACTTACCAGCGTTTGTGTATGTGGCGTGGTGGTTAAACGTACAAGGTTCATGTTTCCACACATGGGTGAGCCATTTGTTCTTTGTGTTACCTCAGTCCAGCATTGTAACCACTCAGCGGTGGGGTAGCCTTGTGGTTAAAGCGCTCGCTTTCCCCACATGGGTAGTCAAGTCAAAGATGGGTATTGTATTTGAGGCAATATACAAGTAATGCAAGTATATAAACAGCACATGTTACAGATATTTCACAGAACAAATTACAGTTCAAATAAGATATTGCTTCTAAGGATAACAGCATGTTTGGCATAAAGCGCTAGATTACGTATTACATTTCATTAAAAGGGAACAAAGGCAGTTGAAGGATATTTTAACAGATAATTATTTGGGATATACTGTTTTTTTAAACCAGCATAATGTGGGCATACAAAAGTGAATTTCATCTTCTGTAGCCGAGTTACATAATGGACATACCCTTAACTTCTCTCTATTGAAAATCGTCTGCATTTATTTACTGATAAGCCTAACAAGCCAAATCGAAAATTGACAAATACGCGTCTGATATTTCTAGATGTCAATAAAGATAGATATAGTTCTGGTTGAATAAAGCTCTTATGTGATCTATACAATTGATATCTTGAATTATTGTCAAGGCAGGAATGCCATTTTCAAGAATACATGCTAACAGATTGTTCGATAGCTTAAGAAATAGGTTAAACTTAATATTAACAACTGCTTGATTTAGCCACACTAATCCAAAGTCATGAGAAAATAAAGGATTTCAAATATGAGACGCCCATGTTGTCTTACTCCTTTCATCTAATATGTGAAGCTAATTACTGGTGTCCTCTGCCGTGATATTGCTGGAATATTGCTAAAAGCGGCGTAAAACTAAACTCACTCACTCATATTAGAAACTGCATTCTTTTAAGCTTCGAAAATACCCAACAGAGTTGAGTTAAAGAGAGTAAAATAGTTTGGTTACTCAAAGAATAATTAGGTTATCCCAGCTAGAAGAGGCGTAAATCTAAACTCACTCACTGTGATATTGTTAAACACGGCTTAAATTCACACTCACTTATATAATGATTCCCTGTATTCCAGATTTGTTGGAAGTGTGCAACGACTTGTGGGTGCAGAAGGGAACACCCTTCCAGTTCATCTTCTGTGGCGCAACAACTGGATCTATTCTGACTCCGCTCATCGTCCGCCCTTTCCTGTGTGTAATGGAAGCCCCTGACAACCTCTTCTTCCCCCCAACACTTACAGCTAATCAGACCAATGACAATACGACTGCATGTTCCGCTGCTGACACCCATGTACAACAGGCCTACCTTGTTCTCGGAGCCCTTACCCTTCCAAGTGGTATAGCCTTCATCTATTACTGGCTCCAGAGCAGAAGGTCTGGGACTATTGAACACGTGTCGCTCTACGAGGATCCGGACGACAAGACGAAGCAAGTGGTCAAAAACAAACTGCATTATCTGTTTTTGATACTTTTGTTTTTCTTCTTTTTTCCCATAGTTGGAAACACCATGTTGTATAATACATACTTGACGGTGTTCGGAGTCGAGGGACCCCTGCATATATCTAAAACGGTTATGATGTACATGACGTCAGTATTTTGGGGAGGACTGCTTGTTAGCCGTGTTGGTAACATGTTGTTAACACGATGCTGCGGAAACTTCTACATCATCTTGGTGAACTGCACGTGTCTTTTTGTAAGCGGAGTGACAATGCTTAGTCTTGCAGGAAGATATGAAGAGGCATTGTGGGTAACGACCTTAGCGCTTGGTCTGTTCTCAGGACCCTATCAAGGGGCAGCCTTAGCTTGGTCAGAGAACTTTATACCTTTAGGACCGAAAATAATTTCACTGACATTTTTGGGTGTGGGTGCAGGTGCAATGATATTGCCGTTTGCCGGGGGTATGTTGTATCACTATGTGCCCCCGATGGGGCACATGTACTTAGTATTTAGTATGATTGTTTTTCTGTGTTTAGTATTCTTTCTACTAAACTATGTAGGATATCGTATTAAGATGTCACCTATACGGCAGCCAGAGATCCCTTTAAAGGAAAGCGAGTCGGAGTGATGTTAGTTGTAGCTGATAAATGGAATCGGACTAGGGTGATCAATAGTGGATGGTGAGTCAGCTATGCCAATCATACTGGAAGCAGATTAATCATACCTCTGGATTTGAGAGTTCGTTATACTGATAAATCATAACTGGGTGATCAATAATGGAAGGGAGAGTGCGTGATTGAGTGAGTTTGAATTTACACCGCTTTTAGCAACTTCAGGGCAATATTCCAGCGATATCACGGTGGGGAAACTAGAAATGGGCTTCACACATAGTACCCATGTGGGGAATCAAACCCGGACGCTTTAACCACTTGGCTAACCAACTGCCCTGGAAGAGAAAGTTCGCTATATTGATCCCCAATAATACCTATATACATGACTTGATTCGGAATAACATTTTCAGCTGTACAGATGTTTCCTTGTACAGTGGGTTGTACTGGGCGCCAGGTTGTCGTCTTGTCGGTGTTATTGATCATACTGCTCTCAATGCACTTATCTGACATATATTTTGAAATTGATATTTTTTCTATAAGACTGTGTTTCTCCTTGTTTATTACCAGGTCTCTAATACAAACATATTTGTGTGATGCTCTTCACGAGTGATTACTGTTTCACCTTGAAAGGTGACCCATGAAGATCCGGGTTCAGCTCAAGGAAACGCCCAAATCCATGATGAGCGACGCGTTTGGCACTTCAAGGGTTTACGATACATATATCTATATCTCTGTCCTAATCCAGTGAAGATCCGGGTTAGAATTGGTCTTCAGTAACCCATGCTTGTCTCCACCCGTGAAGATCCGGGTTAGAATTGGTCTTCAGTAGCCCATGCTTGTCTCCACCCAGGAAGGTCCGGGTTAGAATTGGTCTTCAGTAGCCCATGCTTGTCTCCACCCGGGAAGGTCCGGGTTAGAATTGGTCTTCAGTAACCCATGCTTGTCTCCACCCGGGAAGATACGGATTAGAATTGGTCTTCAGTAGCCCATGCTTGTCTCCACCCGGGAAGGTCCGGGTTAGAATTGGTCTTCAGTAACCCATGCTTGTCTCCACCCGGGAAGGTCCGGGTTAGAATTGGTCTTCAGTAACCCATGCTTGTCTCCACCCGTGAAGATCCGGATTAGAATTGGTCTTCAGTAGCCCATGCTTGTCTCCACCCGGTAAGGTCCGGGTTAGAACTAGCGAGATCTGTGGCCAGGCTCGCCTCAAAACCAGCCTCTGCAGCCTATGGAATATGAACATGATCATTGAATGAACAAAGTTGCAGGGGGTTCTGATCAAAATCAGCACGCTTTGTAAAGAAGCCAAATATATTTTACTTCCGTTTCCTGAGGTTCATGAAAAGTGTGTTGAAACATAGAAAATGTTTGATCCCCCCAATGATTTTTAATTCTTTATGAGTTACATAAAATAACCCCGGGCTCGGTCTTGAAAGGCACTTTAAGCACGGCCTATTTCGTCGGGCTTTATCTATACATATAGCTAGCGCTCTGCTCTCACTCCTAAATTACAATGTTGTGCTGAAGGTGCCTTTCTTTTGATTTTCATTACAAAATTTGAAGCAGTGTAAGTGACGGGTTAAGGCATTATCAGTATAAAAAACTTGGTCAAACAAATAAATGTTTAACTCACAATGTTTTCACAAGACTTGTTCTGTTTGAAAACAATATGAGGTATAGATAATGCGTTGAGAGAAGAGTGAGTGAGTTTAGTTTTACGCCGCACTCTAGCTATATGGCGGCGGTCTGTAAATAATCGAGTCTGGACCAGACAATCCAGTGTTCAACAGCATGAGTATCGATCGATCTACGCAACTGGGAACCGATGACGTGTCAACCAAGTCAGCGAGCCTGACCACCCGATCCCGTTAGTCGCCTCTTACGACAAGCATGGGGTACTGAAGATCAATTTTCTTACCAGGTCTTCAGCAACCCATGCTGGGGGATCAGAGTCGCTGACTTGGTTAACACATGTCATTGTATCCCAACTGTGTAGATCGATGCTCATGCTGTTGATCACTGGATTGTCAGGTACAAACTCAATTATTTATAGACCGCCGCCATACAGTTTGACTATTGCTGCGTGGGGCGTTTAACAACAATCAAACATACAAGAGCAGAATCCATTTGAAAATTAATGTGGATTGTTCACTGAAAATCATTGATGACAACAGGTGTTTGCACAAAGGGTAAGCAATACATTTCCCAATCATTCGTAAGAGAATTTGTACTAAATCATAGCATCGCATTAATGACATAAATTGAAATAATACAAGAGAACTAATCGTTGGTATCTTTAGTGACTGTTTCTGAACTTGCATTTTTACGTCTAACTTCCAAGGCAAGATTTCAAGCTGAGGTAACCTTTGTGGGTTTTCTCCCAGTGTGCGACCAGGTGCCTCGTTCTCAAAATGAGATGACACAACTCGGGACTGATGGATGCGGGGTATACCGTGCATCAGTATATCGTCAGTGCTATGCTTATCAGGGCCATGTTATTCATCGGGATGGGCGGTGGGGTAGCCTAGTGGATAAAGCGTCCGCTTGTCACGACAAAGACACGGGATCGAATCCCACATGGGTACAATGTGTGAAGCCCATTTCTGGTGTACCCCGACGTAATATTGCTGGAATATTGCTAAAAGTGGCATAAAAGCTAAACTCCCTTACTATTCATCAGGATTAATACAGGCCTTTGGTATTAACTCTTCACTCTGAAGTGAAAACTGGCTGAAAAATTGCAGCAAATCCAGATGTTTTGATTATTGTCATGATGCATTTGTCTATGCTTGTTGGGTAGTCGCAAACACGTGTTTTGGAGCAAAGTTGAAAGCAGGAATTAGACTGGGACACTATCTCTGAAATAAAGAAGCAAACAATATTTGGTCTTTAAAGATCTAAACAAGCGGTCATTTCACAAATGGTTTGACTGTTGGCCTGTGCAATGCAACCCCCGCAATGACATGCACAGTGTTTGAGTTTGAGATACCTTTAATGCTTGAGGTCGTTCAGCTTTTTATTACGACTCGATAAAACTCTGTCTCCAACTGTTACATCCCATATCCTACTTCAATTTTAGTTGAAAAATCTCATAAAAATGTATGTACGTTTTAAGTTTTGTTTGGAAATACAGGTGTCAAATGAACTGCACAATGTCACAGAACGCCGAATTCGTTCCAGGTTGTATGAAGTAGCTGTAAAATACCACATTTCCAACCGGGAACCCTCAAACTACGTTTTATGTTGAATTGTATAATCCTATCAGTTCAGTTAGATCACCCTATTTAAAAATCGAAGTACCCTACTTACCCCTCCCCATTGAAGACCCAGGTTAGAATTTGTCTTTGAAACAGCAACCCATATTTTCAGTAAGAGGTGACTAACGGGATTGGGTGGCCGTTCTTGATTGCATGATGACGCATAAATCCTCGCCCTTAGTGTTCAGATCAATACTCATTATATCAATCACTGGCTTGTCTAGTCCAGATTGTCAACAAATCACCGTCACAAAGATGGAATAAAAGTGAAATTGGAAAAATCTGTTATTGCATTTGAAGTTCATGCATTTCAAATTCGGTGCACAATTGTCTGTCACAGTTCAGTGTTGGTACATGTTTTAATTATTTTTCTTAATGTGTCCGCGTTAATATAACATTCTGAATAACTATTTATTTCATTTTTATATGAAAAGTCTGAGGGGGAACATGCAAGCTTGTCTTGGAGAAGTTTCAAAAGTTTCAAAACGGTTTTAATGTGGACGAATAGAAAGCCTCAATCGGTTAATACCAACGAAACCTACCCGTAGTCCATTCCCCTAAACCTTCTGACAAATGTACAAATTCATAGAAATTCAAGTATGCAACTCTAAAGCCCCCTTCTGGTTGCCATATCTTCTGGTCAAATCCCCCCCCTCCCCCTCCCCCCCTTTCTATCAAACACTAAATGGCCTGGCAAGCGCACGTTACCTCTGCAACTCATCATCATCATCATCATCATCATCATAAGGTGCAGCTAAATATCTCACATTCTAAGGAGTTCACGGATTGTTTGTTCCATTATATGAGGTGTGGAACTGACCAATGGAGATTCTGTTTGGGGTGACTCACCTTATTAGGACACAGAGTTTTGTTATAAGAAGGGACTTTCTTTGTCATGTGAAATTAGAATGTTAATATATTGTTGCAAAAGTATATTTTGAGCAAAAGGAAATATTCTTGCGCATGACCTAATTGTTTTCGCCCATGGGCAAGATATTTTCATAACGCTCTAAATTAGCCGAATTAAATCAACATGATTTAAATTTTGTGTGTCCTGATACTTATAGACATAACTTTAATTCATTTACAACCTCCAAAGCATGAATTTTGAGTTTTCGAAACCATAGTTTTCATTTTTTTATCCTTTGCATATATTTTCAACTGCATGTTGAATTTTGTTAAATCTTTTGTCAGAAGCTGGCTACAGTGCTGGACATCTTCCAGAGAAATTCTAGACTTTTGGGCTTCCAGAATTAAATTGTGACGTGTTATAATCGAACATATGTCTCCGGGATGACGCACAAATGCTTTAACCACGATGCTAGACTTACCACCGCGTTGATTTCTTCCGTCAAAGTTTTATTTTGTGTAAATCTTTAAATTTTTAAAAGAGCTTTGTACTTCAAAGTTGGGAAACTTAACTCCCAAAGGATGATTTTGTTTCAATATTGCTCGAAAATAGGAATGTTGACACCTGAAGGTTGAAGTCATTCATTTTGTCATACAGTCTTGCAGAGAGTTGGCGACTCTGAATGTTTATACATATACCTAAATAATATATCGAAATATTAAATAGATGAAGCTGAATAGCTTGTCTCTATTTCTATGAATAATGTCATTTAGGAAAGTGGTCGAATGTAACATATGTTATAATTGGGATTACACTTTTTAGTAAAGTATGCGTTGAAGCCGGTTAGGCAGCAGCTGACTTTGTGTGCTGGCGACTGGGTGTCTGACTCTGAGGATGTTGGTTCGAATCCCGGATGGGATTCAAGCCAACAAAAGTACTGAAATCTGTACTTTATTAAGAAAGTGTAATCCCAAATATAACATATGTTATAGTCTGTTTGCAGTGAAAACGTACCGATGAATTTCACTTTAAACAAAAAAGTAAATCAAATAAAGTGAAATTAAGATTGCGAATCCTCATAATTTTACCTTGCGAATTAAACATATAAATTTCAGAATTTTATTCAACTTAGGATAAAAGTTGTTTAACAGACGATCATAGATTCAAATCGCTATTATTGGTTTGTATTACAAGGGAGTGAATGCAGTAATTGGAACAGTGATACAAATGCACGTGCAGTACGTGATGAGCGTTAACTTAGACCAACCCTACTTCTTCTCGGTGTTTCATTTAATGTGCATACCCCCTTGTAATACAAACCAACAATAGCGATTTGAAACTATGATCGTTTGTTATCCTAAATTGAATAACATTCTGAGATTTAAATGTTCAATTGGCAAGGTAAAATCATGAGGATTCGTACTTCTAATTTCACTTAATTTGATTCATCGGTACGTTTTCACTGCAAACAGACTATACATCTGACCACTTTTTATATGGCAATATGTACTCATCTAGTACTTTTGTTGGGGTGAGTCCCATCCAGGATTCGATTACTGCTTTTTCTAGTTAAGGTGCGTACATTAGTGATGGGAATTGACATACCTGGAGCTTAAGTCAAGCTTGTTTTCATTTCAGTCATATGGCGGCGGTCTTTAACTTATCGTTCCTAGACCAGACAATCCAGTGATCAACAGCATGAGCAATTATCTACGCAACTGGGATACGATGACGTGTGTCAACCAAGTCAGCGAGCCTAACCACCCGATCCCGTGAGTCGCCTCTTACGACAAGCATGGGTTACTGAAGACCAATTCTAACCCGGACCTTCCCGGGATTAATTAGGACAGAGATATAGATATATGTATCGTAAGCCCTTAAAGTGCCAAATGAGTTGCGGATCATGGATTTGGGCGTTTCCTTGAGCTTAACGAGTGTCATTGTGGTGTACAGAGTTGACACGTTTTGACTTCCTTGAACTCGGTTCTTTTTCGAGATTGGCTTGTTCTCGTGAAACTACATTTCGAGAATCCGCAGAGCATTAATTCTAATTGTCTCAAATATGCGAATGTAAACTTTTTATGAATGTAAAGAAGATACTTCATTAATTGTGTTAATTTAGTGGTACATTTGATGACCCATCTCTCTTTAATTTGTATTGATTTTTACGAAACTTTAGAATCAAGTTAACAAGATGAATAGATATACACAGTCAAGTTGAAAGAACTGATGCTTGGCTTGGGTAGATTGCTTCTTCCTCCGATAAAATGCCCTTTATGTGGCATTATGTAACAGGGCAGTTCTTAAGGTATCTGTTTCATCTTATAATGATGTTAATTAAATCTATTTGTTGTGTCAAACTACAAAAGATATTCAAAAGAGAGACGTTTGAGAATACACATGCTCAAGTAACCTCTCTGTTTGATGAACTGTGTGTTGTTGTGTTGCAGTTGGTTGTAAGCCTGTCAGAGTAAGGATTATGTGACACAATGAAAAAAAAGGTATAAGTAACGATATGACAAACTATACAAAATCACGTTCACGTAATGAGAGAATGATTATTTTGAATGTATTTGAGTATGAGAGTCGTTACGCCCATGACTCAGTTTCCATTCCCCACATGAGTACAATGTGTGAAGCCGATTTCTGGTGTCCCCCCGCCGTGATATTGCTGGAATAATGTTAAAAGCGGGGTAAAACTAAACTCACTCACTCATCCGATTGGTGACATTATACACAAATGAAGTAATTTCTCCTTGTTCTGCCAAGACAATGCTCTGAAAGCCTTTCAAATAACGCACTCCGATGAAAGGAACAGCAATGCACATGAACATATAGGATTCCAATCCAGTGTAAAGAACTTATGCAATCCCTGTTCAATGAATCCAAATTAATTCTTGCACAATAAAATATATTCCAATGCACTCTAATAAGTGGTATACACTGTTTTGTTTGTAAACCTGGTATTTTTTCACAACAGAGATCATTGTTACGTCACAATAAAAACGACACAGGGCTTTCCACGTCTATAACAAATATCTGCTCAAAGCAATCGATTGTACATTTCTGACTATATTATGAGCATGTGTGTGTTTGTTTGTTCAACGCGTCACACAGCAATATTACAGCGGTATGGAGTGGCCCGTGAAGAATCGAGTCTGCACCAGATAAAGTGATTGACATAATGAAAGCATCAAAGAGCATGTATTTATGAATCAAATATTGATGATGTGAGGAGTTCGCAAAAAGGTGAGCCGATAGCACCCGTCATACAAAGCCTTGTCAACAGTTCACCTGAAACAAATCGTGAACGTATGGCATAAAATAGGATAATGTTGTCATTGTTGCATAAAACTTTAAAATGTCCTTCATACTTTAGCCTTAGAAACATTCACTGAGGCCTTGACTGTAGTAACCTTGATCGAACAGATTTTATACAAGAGTTGTAAGACGCTCTTTGAAATCTCAATAAAAAGAGCATGCTGGATTGTACCTCAAACGTTGTGAAGTGTAAACAATAAATGCTGTTGGAATATTGCTCGATATGAAGGAAACGTTGAGCATTGGAAAGTTGAAATCATCGCTTTTGTCATACAGCCTTGTGGAGAGTTTGTTGTCACTCTGCAGGATAAAAGAATTGTTTGCATACATTTTCTAAGCCAGACATTAGGTTATTAAGAAACTTTCACTGCAAATCAATATATATTTTGAAACTGTCCTGGTTTGAGACCCTTTCTTGCTGCGCTTGTTCATATTTGTAGTGGGAACTAAAACAACATCAAAATTGTTTAGAGTACATGAGTACGCCTTCACTTTGGAGGGAAAAGTGAACCTTATAGACATTCATGTAACCGCAATAACCCTGCTTGAATTCCGTTCTCAGTGGTCACTTTGATATGGTTGGCTTAATGCTAAAAGAAGTCTACAATCATACTTTCGTATCTAATCATAGGGTCAGTTCATTTATACGTGAGTAAGTGGGTTTGGTTTAACTCTACCTTGAATGATATTGCCCGTGACTATGATGTAGGCGGAAGCCTAAATTAAGTCAGGAATGTTTACCACTTTCGTGAAGCTCATTAGCACGAGGATTGTGCTGACAAAGCTAGAAACTAGCGATTCGAACCTATGACAACATGGTTCTGGCATACCCACATCTGGTTGTTGTTTAACGCCGCACTCAGCAATGTTCCACCTATACAGCGGCTGTCTGTAAATAATCGAGTCTGGACCAGACAATCCAGTTATTGACATCATGAGCATCGATCTACGCAGTTGGGATACGATGACATGTGTCAACGAAGTCTGAGAGCCTGACCATCCGACCTAGTTAGTTGCCTCCTACGATAAGAATGGGTTGCTGAAGAATTCTAACCCGAATCTTACACTGTCAACACAATTATTTCTAAACCGAAAGTGTCTTGAGTTAAACATTTACTTTCATTATATATTTCTCTTTCATATATTTCTAGTTCGATTATCCAGTTTATTATATATTTAGGAGATAAACGTACTGTTCGGCTTCAAATGAAATTTAGAGACTATCAATTCGGTCTAACATTCATCTAATTTCCAAACACAGTATGTTTATCTCCATTCTACCATAACCGATTTAAACTCGAACTGCCTCGTCCTGCGGAAAACACTGCGTAATCCGGCATGGGACGAGAGGCGAATTGAACTCGTCTGTCAAGGGAGTGGTAGGTGCCGTTCGTATTTTTTTAAATTGCAACACAAAAATATTCTGTCCAAAGAAAACAAACTACTGTTTTTTCAATGCAATAATGTAAAACCTAAGAGCTTGATTTTTATAATCATAACTCCACACGACTGAAATCAGCCTATTGTTTTGTGTGCCGTGTTACTGTACCCCCCCTGGCAACACTATAATGGAATCGTCTGACCTACTTATTTTCTTGGAAGTAGTTGTTAACAGCGCAACAGTTTGAAATGGCGGACGAGCCAGTGTGTATTCATTTTGCAAAAGGTTGAAATTCGAAGTGACAGTGGAAAATACTTGACTGACTGTCGAATCTGAACCCTGCAGAATCGGAGAAAAGATCCTTTTCTGATCGACCTACGACCTGTAACTCATCAAAAACTCATCAATGTCGATCATTATTTCACGTACGTCACTACGTGCCTGCAGTGACAGTGCTGCTTTGTGTACATGCGACTTACGGGATTCCTTGGAACATTGTTCTCATCATTTGGGACTGGATTGTGGCCAAGCCTTTTTCAAAGTGTACGAACATAACAGTGACAGCCTAGCGGGGAAGGTGGCAGAGGGCGGAATTCTCGTGGTTCAGTTTTTGACATTTTGAACAATGCAACGGGACATGATGGAGAATGAGTGGCATAAATTTTGTGTTTCGCCTGACCGTTATCTTGTGAATTTCCCATTCTAAACGAAACAAATATACCATTTACCAGGTAGGTAAGTGTTTACGAAGGTTTTGCTGCACAAATAGGGATAGATAGAGATGTATTTTTACAAGGTTTTCTGATTTATATGTTAGATATTGTTTGTTTATGTTTACGGCTGTGTATTGTAATTGAGTTTGAATATTTTTTATAATAGAAGGTAATAAACATGATAGTGAGGTTCCCCAATAATTGTGAGGAGAAATCGTATAATTGTATTTTTCGAGTTTTAATACATGTTTTATCAGCATTTTCATCACGTCTGTTGTGTTGATATTAGTCATGTTGGGGGCCAATCTGAAGTAGTGCGGCA